CAGGATTTCGATGGATTTTGCTTCGTATCATCGGAATCCTGTTTTCTGATTGGTTGCGGAGCGTCGTACGACGCAAATCGGATGCAGTGTGAATCTAGCAATAGAGAATGGATTGCGCGATTTGTATGTCAAAATGGTCGATAGAGATGAGAGAGAGAGACCGTGTCAGACGGCCATTTCTATCTCTTTCCATTCAATGGTGTAATGGGAGAGAGAATGAGAGGGAGATTGGTAACAATGGCCTTTATAATAATTTGCGCATTTGTTTTCAGAATTGCCTGATATGTATAGTACTCATAAGTTATATCTTTAAAGGGCATGCCCTAGAATATTAATAAAAAAAAAAGCTTCTATCTATCTATCTATCTCTAATTATTGTCGACCACATTTGACACACTACTTAGATACGGATCGCGCAGTCCATTCTCTATGTCTTTGGTTCACACTGGCGCTGCAAGCATGAAACGGACCAACCATAAGTAGAGCACTAGAAACATAGGTATTCGCGTCCACCATTTTTACTCCTTTCCCCACTGTTTGTTCTCTCTTCAATCTTCTCTCTTCTCCCTTCAATCTTCTTAGTTTAGCGGCGGAATGGAGAGAGAGCAAGGAATTGAGAAAAGGAGCAAGAGAGTGAGAATAGGAGTAAAAATGACGGATGCAAATACTCACGTTTATAGTGCCTTACTATAAGCAACCGTAAGCGCATTAATAACGCTGTAAGCGTGAATCGGACCGCGGCCTTACTTATTTCACGCATGCGCACTCCATTTTGGCCAACACCAACATCAAAGGTACCGACCACGGAGTATTAAGGAGTAAAATCTCCGCTTCTAAAAGTGGTCCCAGTTTCGATTGCCAATATGGCGTCAGAGACAACCCACACTTTCCGCTTTGTGACGTCAGCGCCTGCGCAATGCTCGCCTTGCAGCAAATTCATTATTGTAAAGCCAGCGGCACACGATGCTTTTTTTCCTGCTGGATTGCTAGCTGGATTTACGTGCTTGCTGCCG